CCCCAAAACCCCAAAACCCCAAAACCCCAAAACCCCTTCAAAATATAGCTTTCTCCTAATAATAATAAAAATTCCGCAAAATCATTCCAAAATGGACCCTCCTTCCTCAAACCCCCGTATAAGATCCTTCATCTCCCTCCCTACCCCAGAACCCATAAAATCCAAGTGCGAAAAACACATGATCTCCCTCCGAAAGTCCAAACGCAGACAAATCTTCTCTCTAAAACGCCTAAAACTCTACTCCCACAGCTCCCCACTCACAGATCTCTTCAAATAAATACTCCATCGAAACCCATACATCCGAAGAACAAGTGCATCTAAAAATCGACGAAGAACAGCTAGATCGCCTAATTGATATCGCCAAGGGGGACAACCAAGTGGAAAGATTGGAAGTAGTGAAGGTACTGAGCGAGATGTTTTCAAGTAAGAATATGTGCACACAGATGTTGATTTATTGATATAAGATGTTTGATGATGAGCTCTTAGAGGTGTATACAGAGTTGTTGGCAGTGCTGGAGAGTTATGAAGATAAGGTTTGATTAGCAAGGTTGATTGCTAATGCGCAGTGTGGGGAATTAGATCAGGATAATCTTGAGGTTTATCATTCGTGTGGGTTTTTAGCAGCGGTAGGTCTTGCAGTGAATAGGGAGATAGAGGCACTCTCGAGTTCGATAGGTGATTCTAAGGAAAGCTGAGAGCTTATTAATCATTATTTGATAATAATTGGAAATTATTTCAGAGAGGAGAAAGTAAACCCTGAATTTTTCATTGTGAACCAGTTCCATGAAATCTGCCATCACTTGTATGAATTTAGAAATACCCCATACTTCAAAAATTGGGGAATAGAGTACTGGTACATGCTTAAATTTGTAATGAACAGTTTGAACGATGATTGAAGATCAAGCTTTACCGAATTCCTGCCCACCTTCGAACTCGTTACAAATTTTGGAGCAGATATCTTTATTAATTTTTTAAAGATATGGGTAAGTAACATCGAGATCCTTAGCCAAGAGTCTTCCCAAGAAGATGTTGAAGATAACTTGAAAAGTTTGGAAAATTGCTCAGAAAATATTATTAATATCTCAATATTCCTCAGAAAAGTTACTTCTCTTGATCACAAATTTATTGGCATGATCTGTGAATCAGAGGATATTTGTGAAAATTTGATCAAAGCACTTGAAGCAAACCCTCTACATGAAGATAAGGAGAGATTCCTAAGTCAAAAAACAAAAGAAGCCACAGAGTTAGACAAGAGAATAAGGGAGTTTTATGAAGAAATCGTTCACTGGATTGGCTACTTTTTATCAGAATGCGAGCCAAAATTCACTCTGAGGTTCTTAGAATGAGGTCTTCTAGATGCTATTAATCCTTATATTAATAAGTATACTTATACTTCTAATTATTCTATATGGGCAATTGATAATATGGCAAGAGACACTAGCAAAATGTCACCACATATATTAGAGGATACCCCAATTCTTGAAAACATTATTAAAACTGTGAAAGGAACAAATTGTATCACCACCAAGTACACTTCTCTCCTCGCCTTGCAAAGTATAATAGAAGCTGATTCTTTCAGCTTTGAGATGAATGAGAAGTGAAATTCCTTAGGGATCCTCGAACACTTGGTTGAACTATTAACCTACAAACACACTAATACTTCCATTTTGTTATAACCTCCCTCGAAGTCATAACTCTATTATGAATCGCAGGAACAAGATTCAGCCAAGCAATCGAACCTTACAAGCTAGAATACATCCAAGACCTCATAGACCACCCCCACCAAGACATCCGCCAAGCCGCCAGTACCTTATTCTCATCCTTTGTCCTCTCAGAACAAGAAGTGGCCTAAACTCCCCAAAACTCCCTAAATCTCCCATAATTCTACACAAATATAATCCTTGTCTATATTTCAGCTCTTCTGCGATCCTCTGGGGTTTTGGGGTTTTGGGGTTTTGGGGTTTTGGGGTTTTGGGGTTTTGGGG